CCTTCCCCTGCATTTCTCAATAGAAACACAACTTTTTGTGCTTTCATTTCTTCTTCAGTACCCTATTTTAATGTAACCCAAGCAGCCTTTTTTATGTTTCATTTTATTAAAAAAAAAAAGAAGAAGAAGAAGAAGAAAGAAGAAGAATGGTCTCTCAAATTATAAAGCAAACTAACTAATAAAAAGAATAACTGACAAACACATTCTGTATGTACACTATCCAGATTGGAGGTAGAATGAGACACGGAGTGTTGTGACCCGCGTGTGGCAACTTGGAAGAAGAGAAGCCGCCGTCGACTCACAATCGACGGAAGTAGACTACTGAAACTCTATCAAATTTGCCGTCGACTCACAATTGGTTTGGTTCAATTTGGCTTTTCAGTTTTCTTTTTCGAAATATTAAAAAAAAAGGTTTAGTAAAAAAGGAGATAGATTGTGTAAATTGCAATATTAAGAAGAGATGCTATTTTCCATTTACCGAACCGGAATAAAAAAATGGTTATTTTTTTATTATCCAAACCAAAACCCTAATCGAACTAAAAATATACGAAAATTCGGTTCAGCGCGGTTCAATTCGAATCGATTTCAGTTCCGGTTTGGTTTTGACAACCCTAGCTGTAATTAGGGCATTGGAAAGCCTCATAATGTGATCCCATAGTGTTTCCCAATACAGAGAAAAAGTGAGAGTTGGCTTGTCCGTTGAGCGTGTATTTGTATGAGCTTATTTGCTCTTGGTGTTCTTGTGGGTTACATGAGAAAAGCAATTGTAACAGTGGCAAGGGTGAGCTTTTGCTATTCATAAATAATGTGTGCAATAGTTTGTGCGACAAATATTTTATTAATATGTTATGTTCATACCTCATTTTTCATATATGTATGTCCCAAATCGCCTACTATAATTTTCTCATGTCACCACCACCATGCTTCTGTACCTAGAAACATTGAATTATAAGTGATACATACTTTTCCATCGAATTTAACTCCAACGAAAAACCATTAACGACCTCATTTTATAACGTGCAATGCTCATTACTCAATCCCAACGCTTCATTGACTATAAGTTAAGCCATTTCCGAAACCTTTTCGGCCCATGGGCGAGAGCATTGCCCGACTCACCCTCTGCTTTCTATCCAATTTAACTATTCTTCCGGGAAAATGTCACGAGGTTCGGGCATCGAGCGGGGTTGTTCGTCTCGAGCTCCGTCGCACGATCATTTTGAGGAAAGCGCCGTGTGAGATTTTTATGGGGGGTAATGACATCTATCTCCTCAACAAAGCCGAGTGCCCAATATGTATTTATTGCCAAGATGGAATGTTAGAAACTCTACAAGCACTTTATAAGTTGTCATTCGGATAGCAATGTCCATATCCCACATGTGCTGGTCGATTTCCGAGCAAATGAATCCATTACAACAATTACAAAGCTTCATCCTCGATGGGTTAAAGCCATTTTCTAGAAAGTCTGAGCTACTCCAACAAGATTGCTTCAAGCGGTTAGCTCCAAGTGGCGTGCTATGCAAATCTCTCCGCCTTCCCCTGCATCTAATGAAGGAAAGAGTAGCTTCCAATGCCACTTTCTACTCCCTCTTTCATGTTCTTTTTTTTTACTTTTTTACGTAATTTTCTGAAAATATATACTTCTTATGTACATGGCAACGATTGGCAAAAGAAAAAAAGAAAGAAGATTATTGTGCTTATGAATGAGGAGGTGCTAATGATAGATACCATTGGGTACATATGGCTGATTGAATCGGATTAAGATCTTATGGGAAAACTATTAACCAGTAGGTATTGTTGGTCTTAGTTACACGAGATTAATTGCAATCTTTATATGCATGTTTATAAATATCATAAAGTACAATTTAAGAGCCAAAATCATGACATTTATGAAAAATTCACAAGTGACATAACCAAATTTCCATGAAAATTACTGTCCTTCAAAAAAAAAAAAAGAAGAAGAAGAGAAGTTACTAAGTTACTAAGTTTAAGAAAAATAGACATTCATTGATCAGCTCTCAAACCTTCCGAGAGTGAAGTAAAGCACCCGTTTTCATTACTATGACGGACAGCTCCCATTCATAAAGCACAACATAATGCAATCGGCTTAAAGAATGTCCTTGCTGCATCCATATCCCAGATATTTGGTTTGGATCTCATACCACCGCCGAAATTATAGTGAAGCTCTTGGTCATTTAAAGTATCAGGGGCATGAGAAATTGTCACCACCAGATGAAGAAGGGACAGAATGATGCAAAATCGATACATAAAGACACTAACTGATGGTATGAACATGTGAGATGGATATAGGCATGACGAAAAACAAGAAAGAGCACAACATGATTCCTACTAGATTTCCACCGGACAAGATGTTACTTTTGACAGGATCAAGGCATGAATCCATCATCAGATTGAGCAATCTATGCATTAGCTTCTCAATTGACAAACAAAGTTGCATATAGATCAATGGAAATTCATCATCTCAACATTGGTGTCTTGGATTTGAGAAAAGTAAAAATGTTATGATGGTGCCTCCGGTGGCTTATTAATCCATGATAGAATAAGTGGACATAAGCTACTAAAAATGCAATCAAAACCACATAGACATGAGTAGTTGCCATGATCAATCAATTATTAGAAGTGTTATTCCACATTGGTTAAATAAAGGGTTTCAACGGGGGTTATATATATTGAGTCTACCTCTAACTAATACTTTAAGCTTTTGGGCAGAACTTTTGCTGACAAGCAATGAAGTTTTTCTTTTTTTATTATGCATGAATGAATTGAAAAAAAAAACACATAATAAACATCCTATGTTCTAGGAAATGAACCTTAATAGAACTTGCAGAAAGGTAATACTCTCTGTTTGCATAAGAACATATTCATGTGATGTCAAGGATGAAGAGTCTTTCTTTGTGACTGATGATGTATAATGACATGCAATGTACTTCGAACTCATTCTTATCTATTTTCATATGCACCAGGATCACAACCCAGATGATGATGAAGCATTGCAGTCATTTAGTCAACCAATTTCCCCAAGATTACTTCAAATAAGACAGGAAACAATAAGACATCGACACAACCCCATACCAAACTGAAATTACTAATGTGAAGTAGGTATTCTTAACTGAATATGATACTTTACCTGCTATATTTACAATTACTAGGAAACACGGATGATCTCCAGAACCCGATCTCTGTGATTCTGCTGCCATGCAAATATTCTTCATAATTCTACAGGGGGCATATGTGTTCTCCATCATTCTGGTATTCTCTTTGCGTGAATGATAATGAAAGAACATGATTTCTCTCATCGGGCATGCATCAAACTGTTGTGAAAATGATAATAAAAGAACATGACTAGTATCTTTCAAGTCAATTTGCACTCCTAATATTGCCAATGAGCTATTCCAATGTCAAGATTACAATCATAGTTGGAAGTCCTCGCTTCTGATGCAGTACCAATTAAGCTCTACACAGAATTAAAAATCAAGTGCACAGCTCCTCCCACTTCATTTTGGTGCCATTAACAGCTGGGTAATACCCGAGCTCTGAAGATCTTTTGTCCCTGCCATCGGCCTAGCCAAAAATGGAGCACATTTCTGGCTGAAACACAGTTATTGCAGGAGTGGCTTTCCAATTTTGTTCAATGGCAGCTGTACCAAATCATTCTGATTTGAGTTCTAGTTCAAGAAAATATGGCAATAAGAGATCTAGATCAGCTCTCAACTATTAAAGGACTTAAGCATATCACCTTTCTAGCCACCCATTGATTACTTGTCATGTTTATCCCAAAAACATGCAAGCAATACGGTTGATTTAATACTTCCTCCATACTTCTGGTTTGGATCTCGCACCGTTATCCACAATATAGTGGAAATCCTCTGTTCTTTTTAAGCCTATGAGGTGTAGACATTGTCAACACCAAACAATGACCGAACTGAAGTAAAAAATTGTGCATGATGTTAAGGTACGAAATAGCAAGATGATAATTAAAGGCATGAAAAAAAACAAGGAAAGAGTGGCTTCATGATTTGTACCAGGTTTCGACCGCTGATGATAATACTTTCAGCCTGATCATGGCCATGTATCTGCCTTCAGAGAGAGCAATCTTCACATTGGCATATTAAACTATAAATAAAGTTTGATACAGATCCATGGAGATTCATCATCTTGACATTAGTGCCCTGGCTTTGAGAAAATGCAGAACACGTTTTATGGTACCTTCACTGCCTACTGCCATGACCAAGTAACGAGTTAATAAAATGCAATCAAGATCACATATGCATGAGGAGTTTCTAGAATCCATCGGATAGTGAATTTCTCTACATCATAGAAGTTGGAGAGAAGTATTACTTTATTTACACAAGCGTAGATTGATACCACGTCGAGAATGAAGAATCTCGTACTATTTGACTGAAGACATCAAATATCCTTTTGCAGGCATTCTGACCTTTTTTATTCATATCATGATCACGAGCCAAATAAAACTGAAGCATTACAATTACTTTGCTCAAACAACTTCCTCCGGTTGCTGGAATAAAGGCAGGAAAATAATATCGTATCAAAGAAAAGCCCCGTCCAAACTGAAAATACTAATGGAAGCAGGTAATCTCCACAGAAAACGGTATTATACCTGCTATATTTTTTGTTTAGTAGGAGATGTTAGCGATCTCCAAAATCAGATCTTTTTCTTTCTCAATTCTCTCCATTTTCTTTCTACACGAGCTCTCAGTTTAAGAGGGAGCCGAGCGTCTCTTTTTGCAGGCGAATCGGGGAGAGACTCCACGATGGAACAATGCAGCACCAGCGATCGAGGGCACGGCTCAATCATGGACCAACCTTCTTGCCCAACATGAGAAAAGAAAAACGTTGAAAAGCTAAGGAACAGACAATAAGTTGGCCAAAGCAGTCTCCACCCGTGCATCAAACACAACCCATTCTTCAACGCCTTTTTGTGAACTGAAATCTTCAGGTAACTTAAAAGAAAAGCCACTTACTGTCAGATTCAATCAGCTCTGTACTCTGAATTTCGCATTGGTGCGGGCAACAGTCGACTAGCATAGAGTTTGTAACCTTCAAAAAGCAAGACCATCACATTATAGAGGATCCATATAGAGGATGACAGAATGAAAACCAACCATGGAAATAGAACAATGGTGTTTCTGTTTCAACATTAGAAATCAAAAGGTATTTCCTGACTTTGTCAGCAAGACAATAATTATTTTGCTATAATTGGCCAAAAAATGCAAAGTTTTATGTTTTGTGAAGGTTTGAAGCACTGAGCATTGAACAAAAGACACATTGCAAATGCTAAAAACAATAGTATATATGAAAGTTAAAAAGCAAAAGTTCTTCCAAACACACCACAATGTCAGAGCCCGATAAGGAGCAATTCCATTCAACTAGAAAGCTAGCAAAGAAGAAGTAAGGAAAAAATGAACAAGCCATATCACCATCACAACAATTCAGACACTAGCGTCCTTTTCCACGTGAAATTAGAAGCCTTCAACACCATTTCACTTCGGTATTAGCTAACTGGGATGAGTGAGGACATCCTTGGAGAATCTTATGGGAAGGAATTTCCACATACTCATGGAGAAAATGCTACTTTGGATCATAGTTACAAACAAAGTCTGGTCATTTCTTCATCAGCTTCCTCATCAACCTCATCAGCTTCCACATCGGATTCCTCATCAACCTCGTTGACTTCCTCATCAAACTCGTAGTTGAATTCCTCATCGGGTGGGTGGTAAAAAGTCTGGGAATATCTTGAGTGACTCGCACTCATACGTTTTAAAGAGCTTTAGGGATTTACTAGGGCAGCGAATTTCAACTAAGCTTTTGCAATTCCTAACAATCAACACCTTCAGATGCTCCGACTTTGAAAGGTCCAGTACTTGAATGTGCTTGAGCCCAGAGATATCCAACTCTTCCAGGGATCCCAATTTTTCAAGGCCTCCTATCGCATGGAGATGATCTGCCTTTACATCTAAGTCGCCAAGGTTGGAGAACCATGGGCTGCATAGGCGCAACAATCTTAGGGATTTCAAAGCTTCCAATCCATCCAATTCCTTCAGCCCATAGCATTTCGAGAGCACTAATTCCGACAAAAATTCCAAATCGAAAAGCTTTGGCAACCTTTCCAATTTGGGACATTCCCGAACGATAAGCATCTGTATGCAGGAGGGAAGGTCTGGGATGCTTTGAAGAGACGTGCAAGAATAAAGGCGGAGATGCTTTAGATGCTTGAGGTGAGAGAGCGAAGGCAGCTCATTGCTCCGACAGGTGAGACGCAGGGATGATAAGCTAACAGGAGGTTTTGGGAGTGACTGAAGCTCTCTACAGCCATGTAAATCGAGGCGTTCGAGAGAAGAAAGCTCGCTGATATTTTCGGGCAAGCGAGAAATTTTTGTACCCAATAAACCAAGGGTCTTTAGAGAAGACAATCCACCTTTATCAACATGAATTTCTCCTTCCAGGTCAACGCAGCCGTCGGCATTTAACTCTTGGAGGCTTTGCAGTTTTCCAATAGAGCTCGGTAACCTTTTTATCCGACTCCAAGAAATTCTTAGAATTTTCAATTTGTTCAATTCTCCAATGGATTCGGGTAATTCTTCAATCCCAGTACCTGACAACTATTCGACACCAAATACATTTTTATAATTAATGTATTTTGAACAATCTTCCAATTTTTTTTATGTAATTTGTTAATTTGACTGTAAGTTGCTATAGGCGACAATAAAAGAAAAGCCAAAAGAGAATTTGAATTAAATTTTTATTTTTAAATTTACCAGTCCTTTAAGTGAAAAGAAAAATAAGAGTTTTCTATTTATTATTGACTAAGAGGCATCCAAGTCATGTAGTGCTGTTTCAAGTTATCAACTAACCCAACCATGTTATTAACATACTTATGTATTTCTAAATTACTCAAAAAAATTGATATATTTCATGGTGCTTCCTTCAATTACGTTAATAACATTCACTGAACAATACAATTTAAACTAAATCTTTACTTTTCATTGTATTAAGTACACGTAGTTCTACATTTACATTATCATATTGGATTTACATCGTGAACATGCAAAATAAATCCTAGAAAACAAATTGTAAAAATTCTTCATACGTATAAAACCACTGCATAACATCTTATTACTTGAAATTGAACATAATCTTAAGTTGATAGCCAACAGTTGAGGTGCAAATAATTTAACTGAAATCTTTCTTTTTGTTGCAAAAAAAGTAGAACCCGCACACGAGCAAATTGCATGCATTCACGGTTGGAATTTGAAGATAGAATAATGTATTCAATTTTTGGAGAAGGAGACTATCACATATATCATATGAAAGTAAGATTTCAAGAGTGAAAAAGGTGGATTATATGTGATCCATGCATTTATCCTCACGACAACGTACTTCAAAAATAAATTGATGATATATTTTGGGAAGATAGAATGAAAGTCAACAAAGTAATGATCAACAGTAAAGCTTTTGTTTTTTGGTTGAATAATATAAACCAATCAGCATAAGGTTATAATGACTCTTGTGTGTTTTAGAGTGGGAGGGACCGGATTTATAAGTGGCTTAAAGTAAACTTTCAAAACTGTGTGATGCTCGGTCTTCAACAAGTAATATAGTAAGAAGCAGTATTAAATCTGCTAGAAAATGATTTTAAAACGACACGAGCAAAATAGAAAGAGTTAATAATACACAATTTTAATAGCTCTTTTCTGAGCCTCATAATCACGAATGCAAACTTTTCATGAACAAAAGGCCGAAATCGGATGTAGCTTTGACCAAGAAAATGCTAACAGCATGTTGAGAATGGTCAAATATCTAAATCAAAAGAGCAGAAACAATAATAATTAGGGACTACCATTAGAGAACATGAGATAGGCCAAAAGTAGACGCCATTGTTACCTTGCGTCGTAGGACTTTCATGGTGGCTTCGTTGTCCCATAGTCTGCTACAATGCCAAGGCTTCTTATCTACTGGACAGGCGATAGCTCTGCCTAAATCTCTTAGTTGATCATGCATTCTCAACTGATTCTGACCATCAATTTTTATTAACGAACGGTTAATCAATATTTGCAATCCGATTCTTGGGTAGAATTTGAGATCGTTCCATAAGAAGGTGGCAATTCTTTTGTCAGTTCCAATGAAAAAACATGCTATGTCTAGAAACATTTGTTGTTCCTCATATTCTAATGAATCGTAACTTATCTTCAACTTTTGTAGCACTGTCTTAACAGGCGCGTTCCTCAATTTCTTTAACATTTCTCCCCATATATCTTGATTTTCTTCTCCTTTGAGAAGTGAACCTATAACCGTGAGAGCTAAGGGAAGCCCTCCAGTGGTGGCAACGATATCATGAGAAAGAGTCGCTAGTTCTTTTGGAGGTGGTTTGCCTTCAAATGCACATATGCTAAACAGATGCGAAGAGTCTTCACTATTCATTTCTTTGAGTTCATACCTTTTATATTCGGACTTCAAGAGGGCCTTATCTCGACACGTAATGATGATCCTACTTCCCGACCCGAAACTACAACCTCCAATCAATTTATCAAGGTGGTCCGGATGATCCACATCATCAAGAAGAATAAGTACCTTCTTATTTTCACAACTTGATCGGATTTTTCCAATCCCTATATCAGAATCACGTACACTACTGGTAGGGCTTTTTGTTATATCTGAGATTAGTAGAGATTGGACATGCTTGATACTCTCGCGATTAATTGTTTCCCTAGTATCCTTGAGAAAGCTGCGCCACTCAAATTTGTCAAAAAGTTTGTTATAGATGATCGTAGCCAGAGTTGTCTTACCAATACCCCCTATCCCATGAATCCCAACAATTGGAGCGTCAGGACGAGCAGTATCCATCAATTTCATAACCTCAGCCACATAGTCATCAACTGCAACCAAGTTCTCGGGAAGACGTGGCTGAAAATCTCCTTGTTGCTCACGCAATACACTTTCTACGAGTTCCTTCACTAATTTCCCCTCATGCCTGTCCAACAAACAACAGACGAGAACTTATTAATGGCTCCACAAGACAAGGATTACGGATGATAAATTGAAAAATTCTTCTTCCGACAAGAATATATGAAAACAAGGTAAACTACGTACCCACAAGCAAATTTCTCTGATTCGAATACTCTAAAGTCAAGTACTTTTTTGAGCGCTTCCTTCCCTTGTCGCTTGACCTCTTTATCAAATCTATGCTTGCGGCGTCGGAAGGCATCTCCGAATTTTCCCAGCATGTTTCGCACATCATTACATTCCACCTTGTAAAGCACGGGCAGGACTTTTTGCTCTCCTCTTTCAACGCACTCCACTATTTGAATGAGCTCGCGGAGACACCATTGCTCGCGGAGACACCATTGACTAGCAGCATAATTTTCCGAGATGACCGGGATTGAAATCTTAGAGTGCTTGATTGCACTGATAAGATTTGCAGCAACGTCCTCACCGAAGGGGAGGTCCTCATCATCTCTGAACGCGAAGTTTGGATGGAACCTCAGGCCCACATCTTTGAGTTTATGGTAGAGGTGATCGACGAAGCCATTGCGAGTATCGGGGCCTCTAAAGCTCAAGAATACATGGTAATTGTTTCTGATCACAGGAGTGGACGAAGCGGATGGGTCAGAATTCGCTCCGTACGCCAACGGCACGTGGATCTTCTCCGATGAGTCCGAAGAGGGAAGAAGAAGAGGCGATTCGCTCACGCGCTCGGGCTGTAAATCAGACCTTTCTTCGAGGACGTCAGGTCTTGGTCGCTTCGACATGGTCGGAGTCGAAGCAGCTTGGGTGAGTTCAGCTCGCTTGAGTTGTCGTGTCGAGGGATGGTCTTCCATTGCAGCGCACGACTCTCTCTCTCTCTCTGTGAGACTCACAGATGTGGATGAAGCAGGGGCTTTAGCGTGGGTGAGAACAGAGGAGAGGATGGCTCTGTTTGGCTGCTAGGGTTTGAGCTGTGGGTAGGAAGCGTCGCTGGTAAAGAGGCAAAAGTGAAAGCAGGAGGCGAGACCTGATTAATCGACTTTTATGGACATTTTATTATTCTCTCCAAATACGTTCGTGGTTTTATATTTCGTATACTCGGTTGTTGGAGTTTGCGTCGTGCACACGCTTGTTCTTTTTTCATTTTTTTAATGCTAGGGGTGTCTATTATGCACGCGCTTTTTAATTGAGTAAAAATAATTCATTTCACAGCTTTCTGATTGATTCTTCCCTTCGCTATTTTAAAGCATGATAATTATTTCATTTCTAGCCAAATTTTTTTTTCTTTCAAAAACATATTTCGAACAAAAATCCGTTTTATAATTCAATTTCGTTCTTATATTTCTAGAACAAATTAATTTTCTCATTCTATATTTCTCGAATAGAAATGGGAAATAAAACCTTTTCTCATTGCTTGCCCTCGCCACTAATTGATCGCCCACCCACTAACCGCTGTCCAAAAAGGAGAAATTTTGTGTCGATGACGAATTCCTATTTCGAGAATAAAAATTTTGTATCCTTATCAAATGCATATTTTTACTTAGAAACTCGTTTAGGAAATATAAATTATGTCCAGAAATTGAATGATTATTATTCACGCCCCCCAAGTAACCATTCTTGTTCACCTCTAGCAGTCTTTCTCCCTGCGCGTACTTACATATTTTCTTTAACTTTTGGCCTAAATGTTCCTAGTAATTTTGGTTTTTTAACTTTTTTTATATAGTAGATAATATATATAACAGTGATATACAGTTCAATTGTGATTCCTGCCGAGAAAAAAGTAACGAAAGGGTCTGATCAATTAACGAGCTTGAAGAGACCGGATGATGATGATTCGTGAGATTCGAAATAAAGAGGACAGAGGACGGAGACCTTGTTGAACTGGAACCACTCGAAATAGGGAGGGTCGAAGATGCCCTTGACGTTGGACTTCCCTGCGCGGAAAGGGCCGCTCGGGGAAGACGAGGTCGACGCCGCGGAGGATGGAGTCGGGCCACTTGAGGACCTGCTTCTTTAGGATTTCCCCGCTGGTCCTGAAGCCATGGAGGCCACATGCCGCTCATTATCCGGCTTGCACATGAGTGGGGTGATAAAATATTCTCCCACATCGTTTGATAATAGGTTTTAATATTCTTTATATTTACGTGGTCTCTCTCCACTTAACAATTTAAGTTTTTGAGTTAGACTTTCTAATTAATAGGGTCACTGACCAAATCCTGATGCAATTATTATGAATTGATATAATTGATGTCGTTAGATAAATAAAGTGGTTAATTGACTTGGACTTAGCAAAGTGCGAAGTCGTTGGCCCCAAGCCGGCCGTTCCTTTTCGCTTCTAGCTGTCTTCCTCAACGCGTGCATAGTCGTTGCCTTCTAGGCATCATCTGGTGAATGGAGTGCAAAGATATGAGCTGATTTTGTTCTTATTTTAGTTAGTCCGTGCTAGAGACGGAAGGATCGCTTATCGTTTAAATTGGGTTAGTCTCTTTTGGCGGCAACATTTATATAATATCCAAAAGCAAGGGAAAAACAAGAAAGAAAAGGACGCAGTAGCTACATTGCCACTTCAATTACATTACCATTGTACTGGCTGTAGACTCGTGATTTGCACAGGAAAAATACTTGTGAAATAGATTACATGAAATTTTTATTCTAGGATTCTTGATCATCATGAGAGTAAGAGATTTTTTGTAATATTAGAAGTAATTACATGCCCCTTGAACTAAAAGGGAAAAGAATGTTTTTCAAAAGAGAGTTAAGATAAATATCACTCAAGGAAAATTCTCTTGAGAGGGCCGGAGACATAGTCCATGACAACTATTCGACACCAAAGAAGCTCGATTACACCAACCGATTCGTTTTGGTAACTATGTGGCACCCTCTACTCCATACTCTTGTTCATCCAATTGATTGGAACGTGCTTAATTTGGCGATTTTCATCTTGCTCCTGCTCTCCATCGCAAATTTCAGCACCTAATTTTGCTCCACTTCCTCCGTTGAAGAACCCAACAACTCCAGGGTTTGAAGGAGAAAACAAATTTAGCTCCAATTCATTAATTTGTGGGCAAATATCACACATAAACGACGTTATTCAGCAATAATATTACTGACTTCATTTTATCGGTGAGTCACGTCAGATAGTTTATATCAAAATAATGTCACGTTAGATTTTTTTTTGCCACACAAAACGCCAATGGCTCTAAAGTGATCGATTTTTCACATGACACTCAAGTAATTGAGAAGATAATTGCGTTATTGCAGTGAACGCCATAAAAAAGTTAAAGACAATCGTGATATTTTTTTCCAGATTCATAACCGAAGGCATCAAACATCTCCAACTTCTTCAAAGAACCTTTTTTTTTTAATTCCATAACCAATCGACCTATTGAAAGGTGAGGTGACACATGCCGTAATATCGCATGCTAGGATTGCCTTTTGCAGGCTGCTTTTTTTTTTTTTTTAATTCTAGAAATTTCCTCACTAGTGCTTTTTTTTATTTGTCATGGACTTTCATGGTTTTCTCTGACGTTGTCAAGGGAAGATTTATATACAATAATTTCATTGATCGATGATTTTCAGTGGACCAAGCAACAAAAAAAGATGTCACAAATAAAATTGATCTACCTGCAATGAAGTAAGAGCGTGCCGGCCGAAAGGGCAAAAGGGAAAGTGATAATTGGCTAGTGTGATGTCGATATTGCCCATGACTACGGAACTTGAGGATTGACGACCGGCTATATGTTTAGCCTTGGTTCAGGAGCCATCTCTTAAGTCTTGGTGTGGCAAAAGTCAGGCTATATTTTCCGGGCCTCGGCGACGGTCGGTTCTAGGCCACGGGTGAGGCTCAGGTTCATCGACCCTATGGTGAGGCTCAAGTTCGCCTGTGGCCGGTCGTCGACCTTAACGTCGTGGCCGGTGACTGCCTGAAGAAGGAGAAGGACAATGAAAAAAAAATTATAAAAATATTTGATACGAACAATTCTAGAAAGTATTTTTACCTCGTTGGATTTATGAATTCACTTTCTTAAATTTATGTGTGAATGTTTTCGTTGATCGGAAAAGTGTTTTCGGTTGACTAGTAATTTTTCACGAATCAAACGGGTAAAAGTCTGGAAAATCAATTCTTGTACTTCCCTCCAAACAAACACGCCCTTAATATCTCTGCTCTCGCAAAATAGTAATTTCAAATTGATATAAAGGAAATACACTATTTCTTTGATTGATTGTTGAAGTATAACCTCAATATAATTAACTGACAAAGAACCAAGTGACTCTCATGTCTAATTAGATGTGACTTAGTAATTTATGTTTGAGAGTAAGTTGAGTTAGGTGAAAAACAAGAGAAAAATACAAGTGTTCAACACACATTCTTAAAAATAATGGATGCATAATTGCATATGGAGTACAAAAAAGGGGCATTTTCAAAATTGGTCCCCTCAACCTTTTTAGAATCTTTTACATTTGGATGCCCCTTCATCGGGCTTTTTGCTTAAAAACTCTCGAGTTTAAATAAAATGGATGGCGTTTTCGACCTAAAAATTTTTTGTCCCCATACTCTTGATGAAAGTTCAATTTCATCGTAGAACTTTAATTTTGGTTAATTATCGGATCAATTTAATTCCTCCAATTAACTTGGTCATGTTGGATTGGGCTGTCAGAAGCCAAATCAGCAAAATCTAGAAAAAAGAATGAAAAAGAAGAAGATACAAACCAAAGGGTGAGAGAAATGGGGGAGGGAGAGGGAAGTGAGCGATGGCAGCATAGATAATTTAAGAGTAAGTTGATCTTAAAATTTATTGTACTATGTATGTGAAGAAGTGAGGGAAGAAAAGGGTGATTTCCAGTTTTAAATTTTTGCGCTTCTGTAAATTTTGCAATAATCATATTGAATTTTATAAAACACGAAATATTATTAAAATTTATGAGTAAAATTCATATAAATAGATGAAATAGGCCCGAGCGATGTTTGGCAAGATATTTATAATTTGTCCGCATGGAAAACTTCCCCGTTTTCTACAAAACGGAACGCCGTACACCAAACCCCCTTTGGTTTGAATGCTGAATTGCTTGGTTCATTTGACTATTTTTTTTTGTTTAATTTGACTTTAGTTGGCTCTTGAGATCCGTTTAGTTGCCTGTATGAAACCCTTTGGAAGATAAAACAATCTATTCTTCACATGGGTGGTATACCAGTGGGGATAATACTCAAGGGAAGGAATAGATAATATCACGATAATAACTGGGAATTGTTTGATTGTCGTTGAAATGATTTGCTAAATCTAGAAATAATTTCATTGAGATTATTTATTCATTTACACCAAAGTTTGCAGAAATAAATATCAGTAGTTTAATGGAACGATTACAATGGTGTTAATAATTGAATAAATATTGGTAATTTCACATAGGATCATAAGCGTGGCATTACTCTCGGCACATTAACAAACAATGGAATGAGGAGAAAAAAAATTATTCCTATTTTCTCCATGAATTTCATCTGCTCATAACAAATCTCGAAACACTTCGGTTCCATTTGTTTCTCCACAAAATTGTTTTTTCTTTTTGTTATGCACGAATGAATGAAAGAAACACATAAAAAAACATCCTGTGCTCTAGGTAACCAACCTTAATAGGACATGGGAAAAGGTAATACTCTGTTTGCATAAGAACATATTCATATCATCTCAAGGATGAAGAGTCTTCAATTGACATATAATGACATGCCATCTACTTCGAAGGCATTCTAGTCTATTTTCATTCCCACCAGCATCACAAGCCAGAGATGTTGAACCATTGCATTCACTTAGTCGACTAATTTCCCCGAGATTCCTTGAAATAAGACAGAAAACACAACCCCATGCCAACCTGAAATTACTAATGTGAAGTAGGTACTCTCTACTGAATATGATACTTTACCTGCTATATTTACATTTACTAGGAAACACGGATGATCTCCTGAATCTGATCTCTGTCGGGCTGCCATCATGCAAATATTCTTCATACTTCTACATAAGGCATATGTGTTTTCCATCATTATGGTATTCTTCGTGTAAATGACAATAAAAGAACATGACTAGTATCTTCCAAGTCAATTTGCACTCCTAATATTGCCAATGAACTATTCCTATGTCTACATTACAGTTGTAGTTGGAAGTCCTTGCTTCTGATGAGTATAAATTAAGCTATCCACAAAAGTAAAAATCATATGCATAGCTCCTCCCACTTCATTTCAGTGCCATAAACAGCTGGGTGATACCCAAGTCCTGAAGAATTTTTGTTCTTGCCATCGGCCTAGCCAAAAATGGTACCACAACTGCTTATTGCAGAAGTGAATCTCCAATTCTGTTCCGCAGCAGCTGTAACAGAACATTCTGATTTGAGCCGTCATTCAAAAAAAGATGGCATTAACAGATTTAGATCAGCTCTCAAATATTGTAGGACTTAAGCAAATCACCTTTCTAGCCACCCATTGATTACTTGTCATGTTTATCCAAAAAAACATGAAAGCGACACCGTTGATTTAAGGACATCCTCCATACTTCTGGTTTGGACCTCACATCGTTATCCACAATACAGTGAAAATCCTCTGTTTGTTTAAAGCCTCTGGGGCGTAGACGTTGTCATCATCAAACAATGACCGAACTGAAGTAAGGAATTGCGAATGATGTAAGGGTAAGAATTTGCAAGATGATTAATAAAGGCATGAAGTAATACAAGGAAAGAGTGACTACATGATTTTGTACCAGGTTTCCACTGTTGATGATAATACTTTCAGCCTGATCAAGGCCATATATCTGCCTTCAGAGAGAGCAATCTTCACATTGGCATATTAAGTGACAAGCAAAGTTTGATACTAATCCATGGAGATTCATCATCTTGACATTAGTGCCCTAGCTTTGAGAAAATGCTGAACACGTTTATGGTACCTTCACTGCCAACTTCCATGACCAAATAACGAATTAATAAAATGCAATCAAGATCACATACGCATGAGCAGTTTCCAGAATCCATCAGATAGTGAATTTCTCTACTTCATAGAAGATAAAGAGAAGTATTACTTTATTCACACAAGCGCAGAATGCTACCACGTCGAGAATGAAGAATCTCGTACTGTGATGGACAGCTCCCATTCATAAAGCACGACACAATGCAATCGGTTTAAAGAACGTCCCTGTCGCATCCATATCCCAGATATTTGGTTGGAATATCCCACAACTGCCTAAATTCCAGTGAAGCTCCTCGTCATTTGAAGCATCAGGGGCATGAGAAATTGTCATCACCAAATGAAGAACGAACAGATGGATGCAAATTCGATACGTGAAGACACTAATTGATGGTACAAACATGTGAAATGGATATAGGCATGACGAAAAACAAGAAAGAGCACAACATGATTCCTACCAGATTTTCCACCGTAGAGGATGTTACTTATGACAGGATCAAGGCCATGAATCCATCATCAGATTGTGCAATCTATGTATTAACATCTCAAATGACAAACAAAGTTGCATATAGATCCATGGAAATTCATCATCTCAACATCGGTGTCCTGGATTTGAGAAAAGTAAAAATGTTATGATGGTGCCTCCAGTGGCTTATTAATCCATGACAGAATAAGTGGACAAAAGCTACTAAAAATGCAATCAAAACCACTTAGACATGAGTAGTTGCCATGATCAATCAATTATTAGAAGTATTATTCCGCATTGGTTAAATAAACGGTTTCAACAGGGGTTATATACATTGAGTCTACCTCAGACTAATACTTTAAGCTTTTGGGGGGAACTTTTGATAACAAGTAATGAAGTTCTTTTTTATGATGTATGAATGAATGAAAAAAAAAAACACATAATAAACATCCTCTGTTCTAGGAAACAAACCTTAATAGAACTTGGAAAAAGGTAATACTCTTTGTTTGCGTAAGAACATATTCATGTCATGTCAAGAATGAAGAGTCTTTCTTTGTGACTGATGACGTATGATGACATGCAATGTACTTCGAAGGCATTCTTATCTATTTTCATTCCCACCAGGATCACAAGCCAGATGATGCTGCAGCATTGCATTCACTTAGTCGACCAATTTCCCCAAGATTACTTGAAATAAGACAAAAAAATAAGACATCGACACAACCCCATGCCAAACTGAAATTACTAATGTGAAGTAGGCACTCTTAACTGAATATGATACTTTACCTACTATATTTACAATTACTAGGAAACACGGATGACCTCCAGAACCCGATCTCTGTCGTGCTGCTGTCATGCAAATATTCTTCATTATTCTACATGGGGCATATGTGTTTGCCATCATTCGGGTATTCTCTTTGCGTGAATGATAATGAAAGAGCATGATTTCTCTCATCAGGATTTAGAGATATGTATCAAACTGTTGTGAAAATGATAATAAAAGAACATGACTAGTATCTTCCAAGTCAATTTGCACTCCTAATATTGCCAATGAGGTATTCCAATGTCAAGATTACAGTCATAGTTGGAAGTCCTCGCTTCTGATGTAGTACCAATTAAGCTCTCCACAGAATTAAAAATCATATGCACAGCTCCTCCCACTTCATTTCGGTGCCATTAACAGCTGGGTAATATCCGAGCTCCGAAGATTTTTAGTCCCTGCCATTAGGCTAGCAAAAAATGGTCCACATTTCTGGTTGAAACCACAGTTATTGCAGGAGTGGCTTTCCAATTCTGTTCAGTGGCAGCTGTAACAAAACATTCTGATTTGAGTTCGAGTTCAAGAAAAGATGGCAATAAGAGATCAAGATCAGCTCTCAAATATTAAAGGACTTAAGCAAATCACCTTTCTAGCCACCCATCGATTACTTGTCAAGTTTATCCCAAAATCATGAAAGCAATACGGTTGATTTAAGACTTCTTCCATACTTCTGGTTTGGATCTCACACTGTTATCCACAATATAGTGGAAATCCTTTGTTCTTTTTAAGCATATGGGGTGTAGACATTGTCATCACCAAACAATGACCAAACTGAAGTAAGAAATTGTGCATGATGTTAAGGTATGAATTTGCAAGATGATAATTAAAGGCATGAAGAAAAACAAGGAAAGAGTGGCTTCATGATTGGTACCGGGTTTCGACTGTTGATGATAATAATTTCAGCCTGATCAAGGCCATGTATCTGCCTTCAGAGACAGCAATCTTCACATTGGCATATTAAGCTACAAACGAAGTTTGATACAGATCCATGGAGATTCATCATCTTGACATTAGTACCCTGGCTTTGTGAAAATGCAGAACACGTTTTTTGGTACCTTCACCGCCTACTGCCATGACCAAATAACGAGTTAATAAAATGCAATCAAGATCACATATGCATGAGCAGTTTCCAGAATCCAATGGATAGTGAATTTCTCCACTTCATAGAAGTTGGAGAGAAGTATTACTTTATCTAAACAAGGGCAGATTGGTACCATGTCAAGAATGAAGAATCTCGTACTATTTGACTGACATCAAATATCATTTTGGAGGCAATCTAATCTTTTTTATGCATATCATGATCACGAGTCAGATAAAACTCAAGCATTACAATTACTTTGCTCAAACAACTTCCTCCAGTTGCTGGAATTAAGACAGGAAAATTATAACGTGTCAAAGAAAAGCTCCGTCCAAACAGAAAATACTATGAGAGCAGGTAATCTCCACAGAAAACGGCACTATACCTGCTATATTTTTTGTTTAGTAGGAAACATTAGCGATCTCCAGAATCAGATCTTTTTCTTTCTCTCTTCTCTCCATTTTCTTTCTACATGAGCTCACAGTTTAAGATGGAGCCAAGCGTCTCTTTTTTCTCCCCTTAAGCCCACGTCTACTTCCCTTGTTTAGTTGACTTTTCAACCTTCTCTTTGTTTTTTTTTTTACGGGCCCCAGAATTTTTTTTTTTTACTTGGTCAAATCCCAAGTATTACAGTAACTTCATAACAATAAGTACATACTGCACCAAACTACTATGGATAAAAATTGACACCAATATCAGTAACTCATCTACCAACCGGTGTGCTTCAACTTTTAAACTTGCGGATGAACACCTGAAACAACCTTTTATGTATTAATGTAAAGATAGAGTACACTCGTTCAACAAAAGGGGATTTGAACAATGACACATAATTATGTGCAACAATCAAATTGGACAAAACAAATGTCGCTTATTTTATGGTGGCAACATCTAAAGCCTCCACGAAGATTGATCTTTCTTCCTTACCATTCCACAATCAAGCTTCCCAAACAGCACAGATGGAGTTTTTGCAGGCGAATCGGGGACAGACTCCATGACAGAACAATGCAGCACCAGCGATCGAGGGCACGGCTTAATCGTGGACCAACCTTCTTGCCCAACATGAGAAAAGAAAAGCGTTGAAAAGCCTAAGGAACAGACAATAAGTTGACCAAAGCAGTCTCCACCCCTGCATCAAACATAACCCATTCCAGCTAGAGATGCAATCCGCAAATTCATAGTTGAAGCGGCCAACGACCAGATATTTCTCAAGCACGACTCAACGTCATTCTTCAACACCTTTTTGTGAACTGAAATCTTCAAGTAACTTAAAAGAAAAGCCACTTACTGTCAGATTCAGTCAACTCTGTACTCGAATTTCGCATCGGTGTGGGCAACAGTCGACTAGCATAATGTAACCTTCAAAAAGCAAGACCATCACATTATAGAGGATCCATACAGAGGATGAGAGAATGAAAACCAACCGTGGAAATTGAAACAAATTTAATGGTGTTTCTATTTCAACATTATAAATCAAAAGGTACTTACTGACCTTGTCAGCAAGACAAGAATTATTTTGCTATGATTGGCCATAAAATGCAAAGTTTTATGTTTTCTGAAGGTTTGAAGCACTGAGTATTGAACAAAAGACGCGTTGCAAATGCTAAAAACAATAGTATAGATGAAAGTTAGAAGCAAAAGTTCTTCCAAACACCCCACAATGTCAGAGCCCGATAACTCCTGGTGAAAGAAGAAACCGATGGGCTTCTAATATCGCAGCTCAAGCTTTTGCATTTTCCCACAGTCAGAAGGAGATAAGGAGCAATCCCTTTCAACTACAAAGCTAGCAAAGAAAAAGTAAGGAAAAAATGAACAAGCCATATTACCATCACAACAATTTGGACAATAGCGTCCTTTTCCATGCTAAATTAGTAGCCTTCGACACCATTTCACTACGTTATTAGCTAAATGGGATGAGTGAGGACATCCTTGGAGAATCTTATGAGAAGGAATTTCCACATACTCATGGAGAAAATGCTAGTTTGGATCATAGGTACAAACAAATGGTTCACTGGAGATTGTTCTTCCAAACACACCTCACGGTTCTTCAAGATCCGAGAACATGAAAGAAATGGCTATGAAAGTAGAACCTCATCAATCAAGGTAATCTTCCCGTTCAACCTGAGGTTAGTTCACATTAGTTCCGACAACTCTGCAGTCAATTTCCACGTTACCCAGATAGGGTGATAAAATCAACCTAAACCTATAATAGGTTCATAAGTCCTAATAATCCTGCTATACATGCTCTACGACTGCTCAAATAACGTAAGGAAAATTCACCACCATTGACACGAAACCTAATCAAAAGCTGCTGTAGTTATCTCATTACGCCATAGCAAACTGGTAGAAGAGAATAACCGAGCAGATCTCTGCACCTAACAGGAATCACAAGCTGATAAATATAACAGGACAACTAAACATGCTTCGCTGAACAATGCAGAAAAGCTCGAATTAGTTTCGTTTCATTTCCTCCGTGTGCAGACATCGAACACCCAAAATCAGACCAACAACGGCGACTCAAAACCTCGAATCACCAGGATGCGCATGCACCAATCACACCAAGAATCAACCAATGAATAAACCGATCAATCAGCGACAAGAATGTATTAATGTTAAAACGGGTCCAATCACCTGGAACCACTGCCTTCACCAGATTCCTCGCCTCCAACTTTCAAGCTGGATATCCACCCTCCTCCCCTTCTTACCCCAGTGCCCAGAATCGCACCACGTCCTCCGCAACCTCATTTGCTTTCTCATGAAGATCCGACTATAGCCCCTGCAAACCTCAGTCAGTTTCTTGCTATTTCTTCCCTCATAAACCTATGGCTCGTCCTCGTCGGGTGGTAAAAAGTCCGGTAATTTCTTGAGTGACTCGCACCCATACCTTTCAAAGTGCTCTAGAAATTTACTAGGGCAGCGAATTTCAACTCCTTCAGATGCTCCGACTTTGAAAGGTCCAGTGATCGGATGTGCTTGCGTCCAGAGATATCCAACCCTTCCAGGGATCCCAATTTTTCCATTGGAGTTTATGAGCCAGAGTATTTGTCGAAGTTATTGCACGCGAAGATCACACAGCGTCAGTCCCCAGCCACCGGCGAGCTCGAAAACCACCGCCGGCGGTCGCTCGTTTCGGACACCAGCTAAAACAACGAGACCCGAGAAGACGACGAAATCGCGAGTTCCGTTCCGCTACGAGTACAAGCCAAACGGGAACCGGAAATACGGGAACCGAGTCGGTCCGTGGCGAAGCCGCCGCTTGAGGCGGAGGAAGAGACCTGGCGTATCGAAGCGGCGGAGGAGAGGCGGTCCGGCGAAGACAAGTCTATGATCGGGAGTTCGAGAGCCGTCGCCATATGAGCTTTTTTGTCCTTGGACGCCGACGGTGGGTTTTGGGACGAGGGAAGGGGAAGAAAATGTGCAGAGGAGAGTATCCTCTGGGGGAGGAGATTGCGGGGGTAGCAAATGCACCTGTGTGGAGGCAATGACATCAACATTTGCTTTTATAACAAAAAAGTGCTATGTCTAGATTTTCTCTTTCTAATGGACCGGTTGGAAACAATAACATCGATAAATACTCTGGCTCATCAAACGTGCTAAGTGACGGCGATGAAATCATATCATGTGATTGTTCAATTTGATCTTTTATCCATAGTGCAGGTCGTGTCATCCACGTAGATATATCGGAGTTATGACATTGAGACCTAGCGGGGCGTTGTGCAGATGACTATTTGAGCCAGGAGTGCACCCAAAACTTACTAAACTGCATGACCAACTTCAAGAACTTGGGAGGCCGAACGTTTAAAGGAAGCAAATGCCAAGTCGAGGATGTCGTCGATGTCCTCTCTGTTGTCATGGAAGTTGCTTTGCTTGCCAGGAGATACCTCCACAAGCCCTGAATCTTTGTCCACGTTCTGCTGATGTATCAACTCGGATCCCTTCATTCACTTCGTGATCATCCCTTTCTTCTTTGATTTTTTTTTCCTAACTGTTTGTCTGTGTCTGCTCTTATTCTATTACAAAGTAGCATAGCGGGCTATCAAGAAAAAAGGTCTGATCAAGTAGGAAATGCCGATGAAATTCGCAATACATCTCTGCCATGAATAATGTGGCCTGCTATTTACATTTGAAATGAAACTGTTAAAAGAAGTGATCCATTTTCAAGAAGCATCTAAACCTCTCCTCTCTATACATGCAACAAAAATCTTGGATATAGTCAAAGAGCCTATAAATTACTCGAGCACACATAGCCTTATGTCTTTGACCACATTTACAAGCTAACTCTAGAACTTGATGAGTAGGCAAAAATCCAGCCAATGGCCTTGCAGTAGAGTCTGTGGATAGACATGCTTGACTTTTATTGGGTACAGTAGCTTAAAAAGCGATGTGGTTCAGGCTAGCGAGTCTCTTAACTCTCTACTTTTCCGGGGCGGATGCAGTCACTGATAAGCACGAAATGCTAGCACAAAACTATGAAATCCACAGGGTACCCTTTGAGGCAGAGTGATTTTTCCATTGCCCCGCCTTCAAACTTCTGCGCATCAATCGCGAGACCCTACAGATTTCACAATTTCAAAATCATATCAAACATCGTCACCGGTAGGCTAACCTACGTGATGATTGTATTGAAACTCTTGAAATTAACCTGGGACACATCTGCTTCTTCTTTAGATACCCAAGAGACAATCCAACCACTGTCCTCTCCAACGCCATCTTTCTTAGGGACAAGAATACACCTGCTTTAGGAGCTGTCCTTTTGGAAATTATGGTACTCGACCTTCATCAACTTCTCGTGATATCTTCCTCTCTAATTCAAGGCTGCAGTAAGGTACATTTCGACATATACAATGGATTATCAGAATGACTGGAAACACTTTCACTAATACCTCAGAGTCAGACAGCCTAGGAGAAGGTTCGTCGAAGTATAATTTCACTAGATTTCCATATTTAACCATTCCTGAATCAAACAAGTGATGCATAAACAATAGGAAACTGATCTTATGCGCTACTTTGGGCAAGTGGACATGGACTAGAGAGTAGAGACTAGCATTGCATTACCACATTCAGAGCTTGACTTTGAAATGATGACTTGAGGATAACCACACTTGTTACGCAAGCCGGTCAAATTGCATTTATGAAAGGGAAGTCCATAGAGAATTCAGTGCCCATAAGATTTGACTCCTGAACTTCCCCAATTTCCATGTTCAATCTCCACTCGTAGGCACAGGTAAACAGATAGCCTCCGTGTTTGTTAGCATTTGCATCCACCGGTTCTCTAAAGTTGAATCCTCTCGAGAACCAATCAAACTTGTTGATACCTCAATCGGGACACGGAAACACCAATGTAAGAGCTCTCCATCTTCTCACCACAACCTGCATTGTTGGGCAATATCATTCAAGTGGAGGCTTAGTCTAACGGGATTGTCACCTTCAAATTAGGCTTATAGGAAAAGTATACCACATGACCATCCTGAAAGCAGCTGAATATGTGAAATGTGCAGCTTGATTCTACACAAAACCATCGGACTGAACTCACATCTCCATAATGTAGCATCACCCCTATCCTTGCATATCTTCCTCGTCATACTTCAGTAACCTACATGCCAAGAAAACCATTAGCTGCTTCAACAAACTAAAAAATCAAGTAATAGTTCGGGAAAGATAGGCATTCATGGATTCAGATCTGCTCTCAAACATTCCAGGAGTGAAGTAAAGCACCTGTTTTCATTACTATGACGGACAACTCCCTGTTCATAAAGCACGACACAATGCAATCGCCTTAAAGAACATCCCTGTCGCATCCATATCGCGAGATATTGGTACGGATCACACATCATTGCCAAAATTACAGTGAAGCTCCTGGTCATTTAAAGCATTAGGAGCATGAGAAATTGTCATCACCACATGAAGAATGGACAGAAGGATGCAAATTCGATACGTAAAGACATGGACTGATGGTATGAACATGTGAGATGGATATAGGCATGACAAAAGACAAGAAAGACTGCAAGATGATTCCTACCAGTTTTTCCACCATACAGGATGTCACTTTTGACAGGATCAAGGCCATAAATCCACCTTCAGATGACAAACAAAGTAGAATATAGATCCATAGAATTTCATCATCTCAACATCAGTGTCCTATATCTGAGAAAAGTAAAAATCTTAGATGGTGCCTCCAGTGGCTTATTAATCCATGACAGAATAAGTGGACATAAGCTCCTAAAAATGCAATCGAAACTACATAGACATGAGTAGTCGCCATGATCAATCAATTGTTAGAAGTGTTATTCCACATTGGTTGAAAAGGGTTTCGACAGGGGTTATATACATTGAGTCTTCCTATAACTAACAGTTTAAGCTTTTTGGGTGGGACTTTTGCTAATAATGAATGAAGTTCTGTTTTATTTATTTATTTATTTATTTTTATTTGATGACCCAGGGAACCCCCGCACGGCCGACAGCCGGGAGGTAAACCCTGGGGGCGACACGTGCTAGCCACCATACACGTGCACCGGTTAAGTCACCCTGCGGCACCCGGGATTCGATTATCCATGAATAAATGAAAGAATCACAAAATAAACATCCGATGCTCTAGGAAACCACCGTTAATAGAACTTGGAAAATGGTATTACTCTCTGTTTGCATAAGAACATATTCATGTCAAGGATTAAGAGTCTTTCTTTGTGACTGATGATATATAATGACGTGCACTGTACTTCAAAAGCATTCTGATCTAGTTTCATTCCCACCAGGATTACGAGCCAGATGACGCTGAGGCATCACGTTCACGTGGTCGACCAATTTCCCCAAGATTCATTGAAATAAGACAGAAAACAGTAAGACATTGACACGAAAAGCCCCATGCCAAACTGAAAATACGAATTGGAGATGGGTCCTCTCAACTGAATATGATAATAAAAGCACATGATTTCTCTCATCAGGATTCAAAGACACGCATCAAACTATTGTGCAAATGATAATAAAAGAACATGACATGTATCTTCCAAGTCAATTTGCACTCCTAATATTGCCAATGAGCTACTCCTATGTCAAGATTACGGTTGTAGTTGGAAGTCCTTGCTTCTGATGCAGTACCAATTAAGCTCTCCACAGAATTAAAAATCATATGCACAATTCCTCCCACTTCATTTCAGGGCCATAAACAGTTGGGTGATCCCTGAGCTTTGAATTTTTTTGTCCCTGCCATCAGTCTAGCCAAAAATGGTGCACATTTCTGGCTGAAACCACAGCAATTGCAAGAGCGGCTTTCCAATTTCGTTCAGTGGCAGCTGTAACAAAACATTCTGATTTGAGCTGCAGTTCAAGAAAAGATGGCATTAAGAGATCTAGATCAGCTCTTAAACATTAAAGGACTTAAGCAAATCACCTTTCTAGCCACCCATTGATTACTTGTCGTGTTTATCCCAAAAATGTGAAAGCAATACGGTTCATTTAAGGACTTCCTCCATACTTCTGGTTTGGATCTCCCTCTGTTATCCACAAGACAGTGGAAATCCTCTGTTCTTCTAAAGCCTCTAGGGTGTAGACATCATCATCACCAAACAATGACCGAACTGAAGTAATAAATTGCGATTGATGTTAAGGTGCGGAATTGCAAGATGATTAATAAAGGCATGAAGTCAAACAAGGAAAGAGTGGCGACATGATTTGTACCGGGTTTCCACCGTTGATGATAATACTTTCAGCCTCATCAAGGCCATGCACCAGCCTTCAGAGAGAGCAACCTTCACATTAGCATATTAAGCAACGAACAAAGTTTGATACATTAGTGCCCTGGCTTTGAGAAAATGAGGAACATGTTTATGGTACCTTCACTGCTTACTTTCATGACCAAATAACAAATTAAAAAATGCAATCAAGATCACATATTCATGAGCAGTTTCCGGAATCCATCAGATAGTGAACTTCTCTACTTCATTGAAGTTCGAGAGAAGTATTACTTTATTTACACAAGCGCAGATTGATACCACGTCGACAATGAAGAATCTCGTACTATTTGACTAAAGACATCAAATATCCTTTTGCAGGCATTCTGATCTTTTTTATTCATATCACGATCACCAGCCATATAACACCGAAGCATTACACTTACCTTGCTCAAACAACTTCCTCCAGTTCCTGGAATTAAGGCAGGACAATAGTAACGTGTCAAAGAAAAGCCCCTTCCAAACTGAAAATTCTAATGCAAGCAAGTAGTCTCCACAGAAAAACGGCACTACAGCTTCTATATTATTTTGTTTGGTAGGGGATGTCAGCGATCCCCAGAATCAAATCTTTGTCATGCTGCCACAAAATTGACTCTTCTTCATAATTCTGAAGTCAAATCTTTTTTGTGTTGCCAGTACTATCAAACGTTAGATCCAACAATAACCCACAAACCTCAGTCAGCTTCTTGCTATTTCTTCCCTCTAGAATCGTGGCCTGTCGTGTGGTAAAAAGTCTGGTAATTTCTTGAGTGACTTGCACCCATCCCTATCAAAGCGCTCCGGAAATTTACTATGGCAGCGAATTTCAACTAAGCCTTCGCAATAATTAACAATCAAAAGCTTCAGATGCTCCGACTTTGAAAGGTCCAGTACTTGAATGTGCTTGTGCCCAGAGATATACAACTCTTCCAGGGATCCCAATTTTTCAAGGCCTCGTATCGCATGGAGTTTATCTGCCTTTTCATCAAAGTTGTCGAGATAGAACAACATTGGGTCTTTGGATAGGTCCAACCTTCTTAGGGATTTTAAAGCTTCCAGTCCATCCAATTTCTTTAGCTCAAAGCATTCCACGAGCACTAATTCCGACAAAAATTCCAAATCGGTAAGCTTTGGCAACCTTTCCAATTTGAGGCATTCCCAAACGCGAAGCTTCCGTATGCAGTCAACCTGAAGTTAGTTCCCATTAGTTCAGACAACGCTGCAGTTAATTTCCACGCTACCTAGAGAGGGTGATAAAATCAACCTAAACCTGCAATAGGCTCATAAGTCCTGATAATCCTGCTATACATGCTCTACGACTGCTCAGATAACATAAGGAAAATTCATCACCATTGACAAGAAACCTAATCAAAAGCCGCTATAGTTATCTCATTACGCCATAGCAAACTGGTAGAAGAGAATAACTGAGAAGATCTCTGCACCTAACAGGAATCCCAAGCTGATAAATATAACAGGACAACTAAACATGCAGAAAAGCTTGAATTAGTTTCATTTCATTTCCCATGTGTGCAGACATCGAACATCCAAAATCAGACCAACAATAGCAACTCAAAACCTCGAATCACCAGAATGGGCATGCACCAATCACGCCGAGAATCGACCAATGAATAAACCGATCAATCAGCGACAAGAATGGATTAATGTTAAAAGGGGTCCAATCACCTGGAACCACTGACTTCACCAGATTCCTCGCCTCCAACATTCTCTCTCTCTTCCATGATCTCAGCTAGCGGAACATGTGAGCATGGATCTCACTTTCGAATCAGTCGTCCCATCGTCCACCGGAAGAAGACAGACAGACAGAAACAGAGCATCACACCAGATGAGGCATCTTGTGCTCGATATCGGACCACGTCCTCGGTAATTTCTCGAGTGACTCGCACCCACGCCTATCACCTGGACTCTGAAGATATGGCAACCGGAAGCAATGAAGACCCAACATGAAGATCCTTCCTCATTAGCCTAACCAGAAAAGGAACCACTGCCTTCACCAGATTCCTCACAGGACAGCCACGGCAGACGGCCACCGACCGCGCCGTCGTTCCTCAGGTGACCACATCAACACCTGCCGTGAGTGACCCCCTCCGACCAACAACAATCGCAGTACGAACTAGATGAAGCCAAAGCAAAGACGCGAACACAAGTGGCGCCCAGAACAACGACGGTGATGAACTCCATGAAGAAATACGTCTAACAACTCACAAATGCCTAGATCAGACCAAAAGCCAAGAAAACCGATGCAAATCTAGTTCAGGCATTATGTCGAACACATGGGGCGCGCTACCATAACGAGAGATTTTTGGCTCAACCGGAGCTGAAGCCTGCACCGGGACTCTCGACATACAACGTACAATACGCGCAACAAACAAACTGCCTTCACCAGATTCCTCACCAGATTCCTCACCACGTCCTCGGTAATTTATTGAGCGATTCGCACCCATACCTTTGAAAGTAGTTCAGGAATTTACTAGGGCAGCGAATTTCAACTAAGCTTTTGCAATTCCAAACAATCAACACCTTCAGATGCTCCGACTTTGAAAGGTCTAGTACTCGAATGTGCTTGCGCCCAGAGATACCCAAATTTACCAAGGATCCCAATTTTTCAAGGCCTTGTATCGCATGGAGTTTATCTGCCTTTTCATCAAAGTCGTCGAAGTTGTGTATGCGTAGGTCCAACCTTTCGAGGGATTTCAAAGCTTCCAGTCCATCCAATTCCTTCAGCCCATAGCAGCCCTCGAGCTCTAATTCCGACAAATGTTCCAAATCGGAAAGCTTTGGCAACCTTTCCAATTTGGGGCTTCCCGAAACGTGAAGCTTGCGTATGCAGGAGGGAAGCTCTGGGATGCTTTCAAGAGACTTGCAAGATTCAAGGTAGAGATCCTTTAGATGCTCGAGGTGAGAGAGCGATGGGATGCTTTGAAGAGACTTGCAAGAACTAAGGTGGAGCTCCTTTAGATGCTTGAGGTGAGACAGCGATGGCAGCTCATTGCTCCGACAGGTGAGATACATGGATGATAAGCTAACAGGAGGTTTTGGGAGTGACTGAAGCTCTCGACAGTAAAGTAAATCGAGGTGTTCGAGAGTCCCGGTGCAGGCAACAGTCGACTAGCATAGAGTTTGTAACCTTCAAAAAGCAAGACCATCACATTATAGAGGATCCATATAGAGGATGACAGAATGAAAACCAACCATGGAAATAGAAACAAATTCAATGGTGTTTCTGTTTCAACATTAGAAATCAAAAGGTATTTCCTGACTTTGTCAGCAAGACAATAATTATTTTGCTATAATTGGCCAAAAAATGCGAAGTTTTATGTTTTGTGAAGGTTTGAAGCACTGAGCACTGAACAAAAGACACATTGCAAATGCTAAAAACAATAGTATATATGAAAGTTAAAAAGCAAAAGTTCTTCCAAACACACCACAATGTCAGAGCCCGATAAGGAGTAATTCCATTCAACTAGAAAGCTAGCAAAGAAGAAGTAAGGAAAAAATGAACAAGCCATATCACCATCACAACAATTCAGACACTAACGTCCTTTTCCATGTGAAATTAGAAGCCCTCAACACCATTTCACTTCGGTATTAGCTAACTGGGATGAGTGAGGACATCCTTGGAGAATCTTATGAGAAGGAATTTCCACATACTCATGGAGAAAATGCTACTTTGGATCATAGTTACAAACAAAGTCTGGTCATTTCTTCATCAGCTTCCTCATCAACCTCATCAGCTTCCACATCGGATTCCTCATCAACCTCGTTGGCTTCCTCATCAAACTCGTAGTTGAATTGCTCATCGGGTGGGTGGTAAAAAGTCCGGTAATTTCTTGAGTGACTCGCACTCATACGTTTTAAAGAGCTTTAGGGATTTACTAGGGCAGCGAATTTCAACTAAGCTTTTGCAATTCCTAACAATCAACACCTTCAGATGCTCCGACTTTGAAAGGTCCAGTACTTGAATGTGCTTGAGCCCAGAGATATCCAACTCTTCCAGGGATCCCAATTTTTCAAGGCCTCCTATCGCATGGAGATGATCTGCCTTTACATCAAAGTCGCCGAGGATGGAAAACGATGGCCTGCATAGGCGTAACAATCTTAGGGATTTCAAAGCTTCCAATCCATCCAATTCCTTCAGCCCACAGCATTCCAAGAACTCGTAGTTGAATTCCTCATCGGGTGGGTGGTAAAAAGTCTGGGAATTTCTGGAGTGACTTGCACCCATACCTTTCAAAGCGCTTTAGGGATTTACTAGGGCAGCGAATTTCAACTAAGCTTTTGCAATTCCTAACATCCAACTCCTTCAGATGCTCTGACTTTGAAAGGTCCAGTACTTGAATGTGCTTGCGCCCAGAGATATCCAACGCTTCCAAGGATCCCAATTTTTCAAGGCCTCCTATCGCATGGAGATTATCTTCCTCTTCTTCTTCCAATTTTTCAAGGTCTCTGGATAGGCGCAACACTCTTAGGGATTTCAAAGCTTCCAATCCATCCAATTCCTTCAGCCCATAGCAATCCGCGAGCCCTAATTCCGACAAAAATTCCAAATCGGAAAGACTTGGCAACCTTTCCAATTTGGGGCATCCCCAAACGATAAGCTTCTGTATGCAGGAAGGAAGCTCTGGGATGCTCTGAAGAGACGTGCAAGAAAAAAGGTAGAGCACCTGTATGCAGGAGGGAAGATCTGGGATGCTTTGAAGAGACGTGCAAGACCAAAGCGAGAGCTCCTTCAGATGCTTGAGGTGAGAGAGCGATGGCAGCTCATTGCTCCGACAGGTGAGCCACGGGGATGATAAGCTAACAGGAAGTTTTGGGAGTGACTGAAGCTCTCTACAGTCAGATAAACAGAGGTGTTCGAGAGAAGAAAGCTCGCTGATATTTTCGGGCAAGCGAGAAATTTTTGTACCCCATAAACGAAGGGTCTTTAGAGAAGACAATCCACCTTTATCAACATGAATTTCTCCTTCCAGGTCACCGCAGCCGTCGGCATTTAACTCTTGGAGGCTTTGCAGTTTTCCAATAGAGCTCGGTAACCTTTTTATCTTGCTCTCAAGAACCCTTAGAATTTTCAATTTGTTCAATTCTCCAATAGATTCGGGTAATTCCGTAATACCTGTAAATGACAAGTCCAGCTCAATCAACTCTCCCAACTTCCCAATTGAGCTGGGAACTTCAGTTAATAGCCAACATGTCTTGGCACTAAGTGTCTTCAGCTTCTTTAGAGATTCTATACATGGAGGGATTTCTTTTATCCCAGTATGGTCTACGACAAGTTCCTCCAAATGTTCTAGTTCGCCCAGTTGTTCGGGTAACTTATCGAGACTCTTACACCTGCTCAAGTTCAAGGAAACAAGGCGCTTGACATCTCCAATCGAAGGGTCGATTTCCTCCAAATAGGGACAACCTTCCAGGATTAGCATCTCCAAATTTTTAAACGCGGATAGATTAGGGGTGCTCTTCAATCCCCAGCACTCTGAAAGATTGAGAACTTTCAACCTCTCCATCTACAAGAAATAAACATGTTCCAAGATTAGTAGTTAAAAAATAGAATGACTTACCATCAAATGCAACAAAAGAGAAAGCATTTTTCATCTTTACCTTAATTGAACTCCATCCTGTCCAATTTTCACTAATACAGTTTCCACTATATGATAAATCAAGTATGACCAATTTCTTCAAATGAACGTTGGTTGCCTCTAAAGAGTCAAGACAACTCTCCCACTTTAGCCATCTTAATTCAGAAAGTGATCCTTTAAAATCTCCAGCAAAACCCATGACCCTCAAATGAAGGAACTTCAGGTTAGGCATTCTTTTGAAGCTCTCTTGCTTCATGAACTCTTTGGAGCCCTTTTTGTCCAGACATAGTGCCTCAATATTTTCATTTTCCTTCTACAAAAAATAAAATAAAATTGAGGATTGTAAATACCATCCAACCTCCTTTTGTTAGTATACTCTGCATGTTATTGTGGCCGATGCATTTTGTCTACACTTGTAGGAAAAAATATATATATGTGATCTTTTATAATTACATGATCATGTAATACGTCAATTTTCACTCGTATGCCCCAATTTTAATGTTTTATGTGAAATTCATATATGAAGTTAGTCAAGTTTTCTTATAAATTTTGAAATTAAATTTTGTTAAATCCATAGTATTGACAACTAACTAAATATGGTGTCCCTTTGACATATGTGAGAACTGTTACACGTTTCAAAAACAAAAAGTACCTAATCAAACTTATGCATTCATAAAGCATGAAAACTCATTCCCTTCTTGATCATAAAATATTTTTGGTTTTGGCATATTGCTCGATGGAAACAAGAATTTGGTCTATTGAAATGGAGTTTTCGTTTTTGGATATTCAAGCTCAAAGTCAACAACTAATCCTAAGACAAGGGAGAAATTGTCTAATCAATCCTAAACTTATCAATTTTGCGATTTAGTCTTTAGACCTTTCTGTGAAATTTCAATCTAGTCATCCCAGCTAATTTTTACAGGAAATCATTAATGTGATAGTGTGCTATGTAAGACGGTCGCAAATGATAGGATCGTCTGTGATTTCCGACGAAAATTGATCGGAATGATTACATTGAAATTTCGTGCGAAGGTTTATGCCTAAATTAGCAAAATTGATAAGTTTATAACTGAATAAACATCCGCGCAATAGATTTAGGATTGATTAGGTAATTATCCCCTAAGATGAGCGCTATTCAATTAATCATCATTGAATTTTCCCTAATCAGTCATAAAATTTGGCCTGATCCTAAGAATTTGTTCGTGCATTTTTGCATTCACACGTTCATATAAAAATATATAAATTAGTAAATAAACATAAGCGATTATTATCGTTTTCTTCTTTTTGCATTCTCTCATTTATTTTTTTCTCCACCAGTTATCTTATTTGATAAGTTAATTATATATTTTTTCTCCGCTAATATCTAACAATAGATTTTTGTCTCTTCTCTTTGTCGTGTGCACATGCGTAAAGGCACAGTTATACTTACCAAGAAGGCTCGTTCATTACAGAATAGAGGTGGATATCATATTACACTAAAGGCAAATATGAGAGAATACAATTTCTTTCTCCTTTCACTATTCCGTCACGTACTTCCTACAATCATTTACTTTCTTAATTTCGATCTTTGCTTTTTCAGTTTTTGGCTGAAAATTACTTTGTTTGAATACCTAGAAAATCATTTGTCAGTTGTCATTTAGTTTCTTTTGTCGTAATTTACTGTTACTTAATTTTGCACAATGTTGAATTATGTGCTCAAAATACCTACGATTAGAACCATGCATAGCACCGGTATGAACACTAGGACATATTATGAAAACTAAGTAGAATAGCCTATCGAAATCATTTGAGTTTTCATCTTTCATATGAACATGATTGATCCATGATACACGTGTAGAGCTCACAATTAAAACTAAGAAAACGCTAATTATGCCACTTCCTTTATAATTAAGGTATCTTGAACAATCTTCCAACATTCTTTTCATGTAATTTGATAATTTGACTATAAGTTGGTATAGGCGACAATAAAGAAAAGGCAAAGTCGCAATAGAGAATTTGAATTATTTTTCAAGTTATCAACTGACCCAACCATGTTAATAACATAATTATGCATTTCTAGATTACTCAAAAATTTAATATATTTAAAGGCACTTCTTCAATTTTGTTATTAACATTCACCGAGTAATGCAATTTAAACTGAATCTTTAAATTTCTTTGTATTAAGTACATGTGCTTCTGCATTTACATTATCATATTGGATTTACATTGTGAACATGCATAATAAATCCTACAAAACAATTGTATAAATTCATCATACATATAGAACCACTGGACAACATCTTATTACTACCTTCAACCAAAAAAAAAAATTTAAGTTGATAGCCAATAGTTGAGGTGCAAATAATTTAACTGAAATCTTTCTTTTTGTTGATAAAAAGTAGACCTTGCACACGAGCACATTGCACGTATTCACGGTTGGAAATTGAAGATAGAATAATTTATTTGATTCTTGGAGAAGGAGACTATCACATATATCATACAAAAGTAAATTTTCAAGAGTGAAAAAGGTGGATAACATGTGATCCATGTATTTATCCTTACACCAATGTCCTCCCAAAATATATTACTGATATATTTTGGGAAGATAGAATAAAAGACAACAAAGTAATGATCAACAGTAAAGCTATTGTCGTTTGGTTGAATAACATAAATCAATCGGCATGAAGTTATAAAGACTCTCGTGCGATATAGGGTGTGATGAACTGGATTTACAAGTGGCATAAGGTAAATTTTCAAACCCGTGTGATGCTCGGTCTTCAACAAGTAATATGGTAAGAAGCAGTGACAAATCTGCTAGAAAACGATGTTAAAACGACAAAAGAGCAAAATCCTCTTATGAGCCTCATAATCACGAGTGCAAACTTTTCACGGACTAAAGGCCGAAATTGGATGTAGCTTTTACCAAGAAAATGCTAACAACATGTTTAGAATGGTCAAAGACATAGAGAAAAAGAAAAATAACAATTATGGTTTGAGGGACTAACATTAGAGAACATGGGAGAGGCCAAAAGGAGACATAATTGTTACCTTGCGTTCTAGAACTTTCATGGCTTCCTCGTCCCATAGCCTGCTGCGTTTCCACGGCTTCTTATCTACCAGACGGGCGATAACTCTACCTAGATCTCTTAATTGATCATGCATTATGAACTCATTGTTATCATTGCACTTTATTAACATACGTTGAGTCATTTTTGCCAATGCAGATAGCGGATATAATTCAAGATCATCCCACATGTAGATGGCGAATCTTTTATCAGTTCCAATGAAAAAACATGCTATGTCAAGAAAGATTTGTTGTTCGTTAGATTCTAACACATCATAACTTATCCTCAACTTTTGTTGTACTGTCATATCAGGTGCCTTTGTGACTTTCTTCAGCATTTCTCTCCATTTTCTTTCATCTTCTTCTCCTTTGAGAAGTGAACCTATAACCATGAGAGCTAAGGGAAGCCCTCCTGTGGTGGCAACAATATCAGTACAGATAGTCGCGAGTTCTTTGGAAGGTTGTTTGCCTTCAAATGCATATCTACTAAACAGAAGCAAAGAGTCTTCGCGATTCAGTTCTTTGAGTTCATACTCATATTCAGACTTCAAGAGAGCCTTATCTCGACTTGTAACAATGATCCTACTTCCTGACATGAAACTACAACCTCCAATCAATTTATCGAGGTGGTCTTGACAATCCACATCATCAATAAGAATAAGTACCTTCTTTTCTGTGCAACGGGATCGGATCGTATTTATTCCTATATCATAATTCGGCACTTGATAGTCATGAAGTTTTAATACATCTGAGATCAATCGAGATTGCACATGCTCGATACCTTTGCCATTAATTGTTTCTCTAACATCCTTGAGAAAGCTCCGACACTCGAATTTGTTAAAAAGTTTGTTATAGATAATCGTAGCCAGAGTTGTCTTACCAATGCCGCCGATCCCATAAATCCCAATAATACGAGTGTCTGGACGATCAGTATCCATCAATTTCATAACCTCAGCCACACGATCATCAATTCCAACCAAGTTCACAGGAAGACATGGTTGAAAATCATGTTGCTGGTCTCGCATTATTATTTCTACGAGTTTATTTACTAATTCCGCTTCATGCCTATCAAACGACACAACACATGACAACTTATTAATGGCTCCACAAAACAAGGATTAAGGATGATAAATAGAAAAATTCTTCTTTCGACGAGGATCAATTAAAAGAAGTTAAACGACGTACCCATCAGCAAATTTCCCTGATTCAAATACTCTAGAATCAACTGCTTTTCTGAGCGCTTCCGGTCCTCGTTGCTTGACATCCTCCTCAAAACGATGCATTCTGTTACTGAAGGCCTTTCCAAATTTTCCCCGCATGTGTTTCACATCCTTGGGTTCCAGTCCGTAAAGCACGGGCAAGACTATTTGTCCTTTGCTTTCCTCGCACTCCATAATATGAACGAGTTCGCGGAGGCACCATTCGCTAGCAGCATAATTTTCTGAGATGATTGGGATTAAAACCTTAGAGTGCTTGATTGCACTGAGAAGATTATCAGCAATTGGCTCACCAAAGCGGAGGCTCTCATCATCTCTGAACACGAAGTTTGGACTGTGCAGGCCCACTTCTACGAGTCTATGGTAGAGGTGATCGGTGAAGCTTTTATGAGTATCGGAACCTCTAAAGCTCAAGAATACGTAGTAATTGTTTCCTATCGCAGAGGTGGACGAAGCAGATGGCTCGGAATCACTTCGTTCTGGCGAGGTCGAGGATCTAGAGGCTCCAGTATCCTCGGGTTGTCCGCAAAGGATGGTCGTCCTCTTCTTTTTACCAATGAAGTACCGTGCCACAAAGATAAGAACGGGTATGAAATAATGCCAGGAAAGTCTCATTGTGCTCTTTCAAGGTGGGCGAAAGTACTGCAGTTTCCTTGTCAACAGAGAGGTTACTGGACTATCCCTGCGCCACATTTATAGCGTCTCTGGTAAAGAGGTAGAAGGGAAAGCAGGAGGCAAGGCATGATTACTCCTCGACTATTTAAGTATATTTTAATCTCTCATAATACCCCGGTCATTTCATGCATTTCATGTATTCACACTTGGAATCTGGAGATGCTTCAAATTGACTCAAAACAAACTACTCACGCGTTGCCTTCTTGTGGTCCAAACTCCTCCTCATCCTCGACGTTGGCTTCTCGGCAATATCCGATGAATGATAATTGCATTCACTGCTCCAAGCGCGCCTTTCCTTTCCACTTCTTGGAGCCTTCCTCTTACGCGTGCTTAGTCATGGCCTTTTAGGAATTATCAGGTGACGGTTCTATCTCAAAGCTGAATGGAATCGAGACGAGCTGATTTTCTTACCATTTATATCAGCAGTTCAGTTTGCCCGAGCTTCGCATGGGTGCATCGGGTTTATTTTATTGTCATTTTTCACCGTAACGTTAGTACCGTGTCAAAAAGCAAGGAAAAAAAAAGAAATAAAAGAACTTGATGGTTACATTGTCGCTGTGATCATCTTACCATTACAGTGGCCTAGCACGGAAAAAGTCTTCTGAAATAGATTATAGGAAATAATCATTCGAGAAGTATGTTGGTCATCATGAAAATAAGAGCTTTTCGTAATATTATAAGTGAAACATCTATAATTTGGCCAAAAGAAAAAGTGAAATATTTAAAAGCGAACATTAGTCGAAAATTTATTAATTTCACTCGTGATTCACTATATTCACCGATAAGTGTTTTTGGAATGATGAGCTTTTACATGAATATAAAACTTACATTGTAATTAAAACTAAAACATTCCTTACTCCGCTGATTATCACAAAATTGAATCTTGTTTGATAAATTACCGATTTCACTGGAAACTTACTATATTTATCATTAGGTTTTTATTTGAGGGGCAAATTTCTAAAGATGTTCATAACTTACTATTGCATTTGTTGGCTTTGTTTGTAAATTACAATTAGTGTAGCTAACCAATTGCACGGTTTTACCATAAAATAAGACAGTTATGTTTTTTGCCCAACTTGATAGCAGTAATAGGTAAATTACTTAATTTCTCACTTTTGGCAACACGTTAAATTTTCCCATATTTTAAATCCCTGATGAATTCAGGTGTTTCCTAAATGCTTGTAACAAGTTAAATTTAGTCAATTATTCCAAACTTCCCCATTGAATCGAGGATCCAATAGAGACAATAATCACCATCTCGTTACCGAAAAGCACTCGTCAATTATTTTTCTCATCCGGTCCTACCAATCTTTTTTTCCGAGTCTCCAAGGGCATCATGAACCCCTTCTTTTTTGAGTCGACGTGAAACGCACCGGTTGCCGGTCCAAAAGAAAAAGGGAAAAAGCTGAAAGCACCGAAACAATCGGTACATTTCCAGGAACTTCCGCGCGAAGTATTTGTCCTCTTATTGAACCGTGCAGCGGGGGCATCATTGGATCTAGAAATCAATGTTGCCAAGAAATCAATCTTGTAAGGAGTGTAATATGGGCCCAGTTATTTTCCTTTTTTTTCAATTTTCTTCCTGTCGTTGTTCTTTCACACACAAACACCTTTTTAATTTATTTCTTCAAGAAAACCCACGATTACACCCCTCCCCCCTCTCTCTCTCTCTCTCTCTCTCGTTGTGGTCTCGCACGAAAGGAGTAGTGGGTTCTTTCGGTAGGAAAGAAAAGGAAAAATAACGAAAATAAATTAAAGAAAAAGGAAGGATAAAGGGAAAGAGAAGGAATGGTGGGGGGGTTTCTACAATGCCAAAAGCCAACAAGGTACTCCTTTAACTTAGCACAAAAATAATTTGTAATTCACTATAGATGTGATGCGAGATGTGACACAAATGCAACAAATAAAATCCCATCATCATCGGTAATCCATCATCAATTAAACCATCGATGCGTGACATATTAAAAATTTATCTTTTAATAAACGGTGTTTATTATTGGCAAAATCATTATAGATTATGTAGGATATATAACTTATTTATCTCACAAAAACATGTGCACAAGTACATGTTGACGGAAAAAAGCTAGCAATGTTAATGAACATAACAAAATACAAATTTGGGTTAGACAGCAGGGGGTGCGACTTTTTGAAGTTTGAGATTTGACAAACACCGACTTCAAAGTTATGAAGAATAGAATGAAACATTCCCTAAAATGTAAGAATGAGATCTCGCATTCTTTTTCCAAACATTGAGCAAGAGTGTCATCATAATGTATATAATTTGAAGTGATTTTCCTCATTGTCAAGTGATGTCACTTTTTCTTTCGTACCTAGTTGGAAAAAATTTCCTCAAACTATATGTTTGATTGGTAACCTTAATTAAAATTAAATATGATTGATGTTTATATTTGTAACTCATTAATCAGAGAGATTGCATATAATTGGTGCATGGAGAGGGCGCCTCTAAGGTGTAGACATGTGGCCACCCAATTTTCCCGAAAAAAGTATCACCAAATATTTATAACTTACTCCGAGCATCAGTATTGCTCGTTGGTTTTCTTTTGAACTTCTTTTCAATTTCTTATTTACTTGGAAAAGAAAGTCAAGTCAAGGACCACATGGATAGGTAGGTTCACTGCACCTTCCGCATAATGCTGTGGAAATTACGCCTGCAATAATTGCCCTTTGCCTTTTATTTTCTAATTATGTTATTAATAGAAAAAGCAAGCCAAGTCGAAGTCAAGCCGTGCTTGCTTTCAAACTACGCACCTTCCGCGCAATGCTGCGGAAATTACGCGTGCAATAATTTGCTCTTTTCGCAGCGTCGCAATAGTTTGATTAGTTGAAGTGTCTTGGACTGTTAGATGGCAAGAACTCAGCATCCTTCAAACATGCACAGTAGAGAGTGTTGTAATGTCATTTCTCTTTAAACTTTTTATCATTGTAATGTGTTCGATTTCCGACTAATTTTATCTGGATGGACTAAATTAACAAATTGTTAAAAGATTTAAACTAAACTAGCAAATTGTGATGTAGAGGATTGTCAGGCCTCGTCAACGGCCGTAGAGGTCATCAGCCTAAGTGAGGGCGACCCTTGCCCTCGCTGACATCGAACACATTACAATGATAAAAAGTTTAGAGAGAAATGACATTACAACACTGCTAATCTATAATGATTAGCCAAATTTGTATTTTGTTATGTTCGTTAACATTACTAGCTTTTTTCCGTCAACATGTACTTGTGCACATGTTTTTGTGAGATAAATAAGTTATATATCCTACATAATCTATAATGATTTTGCCAATAATAAACACCGTTTATTAAAAGATAAATTTTTAATATGGCACGCATTGATGGTTTAATTGATGATGGATTACCGATGATGATGGGATTTTATTTGTTGCATTTGTGTCACATCTCGCATCACATCTATAGTGAATTACAAATTATTTTTGTGCTAAGTTAAAGGAGTACCTTGTTGGCTTTTTTGGCATTGTAGAAATCATATTTACAGAAAGAATAGTACATCTCCTTTAGGATGCTTTCTTTTCCACACCACCCCCCCCAACCATTCCTTCTCTTTCCCTTTATCCTTCCTTTTTCTTTAATTTATTTTCGTTATTTTTCCTTTTCTTTCCTACCGAAAGAACCCACTACTCCTTTCGTGCGAGGCCACAACGAGAGAGAGAGAGAGGGGGGGGGGGGGGGGGGGTGTTAATCGTGGGTTTTCTTGAAGAAATAAATTAAAAAGGTGTTTGTGTGTGAAAGAAAAACGACAAGAAGAAAATTGAAAAAAAAGGAAAATAACCCCATATTACTCCTTACAAGCCACGAGTGGAGTTGTATCTCAATTAGATCGGAATGAAAAATGACCAAAACCACTTCATTTACAGTTAATTTAGTGAAGGATGATGAATGGTGATCTCGTGATTAGAGTCACAAGCAATGCATTGTGACAATTAATTACACCCTACACTGCATCTATTGGAGGCTTTTTCTATCATTGTATTTTACAAATTGAAAAATCTGTCTTTCTATCTCATGAATCGAGGACACACGCCTATCTCTCTCCCTTTCCTCTTTTCCTTTTCTTCTACTCAATGTCCATGAACAGATGCGGTGAAACTCAGAGGCCTCTCTACTTCACTCACTAAACCTGCAGTCCCTCCGTCTCATCTTGAATTCAGAGTGCTTGAGTGAGCTGTAAAGAAACACACATAATATATTATCTGAGTGCTCCCAAGGCACTTTGTCACTTTCCTCATCCGTTCGTACCGCTCTTCTTTCCATGTCTGCAAAGTCACGAGCCTCTTCTTTTTGGCATCAATGTGAAACACGCTGATCTCCTCCAGCTGTTCAAAAGAAAAAAAAAAAGGAAAAGAGGCTTAAACCACCCGAGCAAATCTGTACGTTCCCCGAATCGTCCGTCCGAAGTTTTGTCCGAATAGGTTTAATTCACTCTAATTCAAGTTCTGTGCAGAACCCGTAGAAATTGACAAGAGATAACGTAATCCTTATCTTCGACGAAAACAATTATCACAAATTGACATCTACTTGTCAAGGCTACTGACTATCTCTGCGCCATCTTTGTAGCGTCGCTGGTAAAGAGGGAGATGGGAAATCTGGAGACAAGGCAGGAAGATGAAGTAAATTTGTCATTTCATATATTTTATATGTTCGGATTGGGAATTTGAGATGCCTTCTTATAGTCTAAAAGCAAGGTGAAAAATAGGAAGAAAAAGAACATAATAGCTATACCGATACTAATTATATTCATATGCCTCTTGAACTAAAATTAAAAATTAGTTCAATTACAGTGGAAAAGCAAAAGGAAAATTTTTCAAAGAAAAGTAAGATAGATGTCACTCATGGAAAGTGTCATATATCAGCCACCATTGAAAGTATTTTGGAGAACCATTTTTACATTTATCTAATAAGATAGATCCGCTATATCGATTTTAGATCTATATGCGAAACCTATTTCATTATATAAGTATA